AACTGGGGTCCCTAGAGCTCTACTGGGCACTGATGGGTAGTCACCTCAAAAATTTCTAAATTTCCGAATTACCAAATTTCTAAATTTTCAAATTACTAATCTCTTAAATTTCTATATTTCTGAAATTCTAAATTTTAAAATTTCCAAGCTCCTTAATTTCTAATTTTCTGAATTTCCAAACTCCTTAATTTCTAAATTTCTAATTTTCTAATGTTCTAAATTTCTATATTTTCAAGTATCAAAATTTCCAAATTTGAAAATGTAAACGACAAACAGTATCTCTCTGTCCCTCATCTCCTTGTTACATATGTGCCCATGTGCCCATCACTGTTCTACACCATCTACGAAATGTAAATCTTTGTACAGGAAGATCGATATGTTGCATTAACATTCCTTTTCAATCTACACTATAATCATATAGGAAGTTTGTTAAATTTATTTTATAAAATTTCTGTATCACCTGCGTTTATATTTCATAATTCCTTTTGTACATGCTTGATTTTTTTAATTACAAAGGTACACTTAAATTTACATTTTGACGTAGTTATACATTGGTACATATTGTTATAATCCATTAAAAACGATAATTTCTCCATTTTTTAATATTGTGACGTTACTGGTAAAAGTCTTTTGAGAAAGATGTCTGAAAAATGGTAGAAAATCGAAAAAACCTTTGACTTAAAATAAACATCTGAGCGATTGAAATCAAGTTTTTATATATTTGCAATTTCCCTTTACTGGAAAATTACAATGCATGACTATTCATAAAAATCATTTTACTTCCGTTATCACTAAAGATACTTTAATCACTGAAAAATCATCTCATATCATAACTTCAATTATTTATATTGAAACTTGATTTTTGTTAAAGTAATAATGTAAAAACGAAATGGGAATAAGAATGTGTGTAAATTAGGAGAAGAAGTTGGAATAAAATTACGAGCGAAAAGAAGCAAAAAGGAAAAAGAGAACAGAGTACCATAAAACCATTGTTTGAATTGGTGTCATGTAACAAATATAAGAATCAATTAATACTTTGTAAATAGCTGAAAAACGATGTGGGAGTGGATTCTGCGTCACTGTAAAATACGAGGAGAAACGAATTACTGGGTATTGTACGTCTGTATAATCGTTTGTCAAACAATGTATCTTATATTACAGAATAATAAAACGAAAACGACTTATCAAACATTAACATTGTCTTTTGCATCCATACTTTACAATTATTACTCATTAAGTTATTATTTATATTTTCATTGACATACATTTATTTTTTTATTAATACATTATTTCCTTTTAATAATTATTTGCTATAAATACTAGTTAACACATTTGTTGACATCAAAATTATTTTTAATTTCATAATTATTCTTAAATTGTTTATATCTATTAAAACTTATATTTTCCTATAACTTTCATTTTTTTTACATGAGAAAGACTTCGATATATTGTCTTCTTCGTCATTTCAAATAACAAACGTATCTTAATACTTTTAATTTCAATGTCAACCGTCTAAGGCGCTGTGATATAAAACCAGCCTCCGTTGATATTGTAGAATGTGACGCAAAGATGGTAACTGGATTTAAAAATCTCGTGGGATGTGTGATGAAAAAATAAGCATTGCATCATTGAGTTATCCTATATCAAAAAAGAATTAAATCAGTAATTCATCTCATACATATACCTTACCTGGATTAAAAATACTTATCGATAAGAAAAAAATATTTACGACCTGGAATGCTTGCAAAATATCCAGCAGAGAGCGTAGGTGCTCGATCAGACCGGCGCACAGGAGAGACGGAAGAACATATGTTTAAGCAGTGACGCATGCGCAATCATTGCTTCCGCGACGTACCTAGCCATCTTTCCAGTCAAGCAAAAGTGATTGTTTTCAGCTTTAGTCTTATTTAACGGAACTTTTATTAATGTCAGAGCCACAGTCCGCGCTTCTACTACGAAAACAATTAGCAGGTACCCAGCAAAAAACAGTCTAAGTGCTAAGTGTGATTCGTGCCGCAATTTCGAGCTCGACGAAAAGCCGGAACCGTTCTTGTACTCCAAACTCGTGCGATCTCGTCATCGTCGTGCTTCGACCCTCGGGATTGGCTTTGTGAACATTTTTTCTCCCGAGATATCAGTTTCTCGAGACCTCTATAACCTTATGTGAGCACCGATTAAACCTACCGTTATCTCACGTTGGCCCTGCGCCTGATTAGGGCGTGAAAATCAATACGGCTACGGAACCGTTGTGTGCCTCCCATGAATAACTTTAACCTAGCATCCAGTATCGCGTTTATCCGTTCGTATACTCGAGTTAAATCGTAATAGTCCCGCGAGTGGTTTTCATGTATAGCGAAGGCCGTTTTCGCTGTTACCGAAAATAATTGCAGGCAATGTTATTTATAGCATTTCGCGCGTCACCGTATACGACGCGGTTTGGACTAAAAAAAAGAGACAGAGAAAACCATGCCGTGCAACGACCACCGAAGGTCAACCGTCCTCGGGCCACCAACTTTTGTATTACTTTTGTCGAGAGAACCGAAGCGATGAAATGCTTCGAAATTTCCCTCCGCAGGCTACCAGATTTCATCCTTTTGTTTCGTAATCGAGCTTCGTGTTCGATTTTACGCGAAATAATATGCTAGCGCTTACCCATTAACCTGTCGGTGCTTGACGGTTAACGAATGATTTGATTTAACCTAACCTGTAAACATCGAATGATAAAAGTTTCGGTATAACGTATAACCTTGTGTTAACGATTTTCTTCGACTGTTTTCATTGTCACTGGGTCAAAGTATGACTGATTATATACGTTCAAACGGTTCTGTGTTTTTTAATGCGAGCAATATATTTAGTGTTCTTATACTGTATTTTATTTGTTGTATATACTCATAAAGTAATTTAATTTAATATGGAAATATATGTGAAATAATTATTGATAGAAAGAAATGAATTTTATTTAAATTCATTTGTAAGAAAGTTGGTTTGAAATATAAGTGATAGATTGAAATTTTTTTTTATTCTATAGAATTAAATAAAAACCCAGTAGAAGGGTTTTCAGCAGGCCTTATAGATGACAATGACATATATCAGTGGGAAGTACTCATTATTGGACCTCCAGACACATTATAGTAAGAAATTAATCAATTTCATTACTTACATAATTAGTTATCAATTCTTAATGTAAGAATTTATTTTATTCATTTGCAAGTGTTTTTACAAACATTCTTTTGCATTTTAGTGAAGGTGGGTTTTTCAAAGCACACTTACAGTTTCCAAAAGAATATCCACTTAGGCCACCAAGAATGAAATTTATAACAGAAATATGGCATCCAAACAGTAAGTATTTTCTTCCTAGAAATTTTTGTGTGAATCAAACCAAATAAAATTAAGCATAATATTTTGTTACATTTGTAGTTGAGAAGAATGGTAATGTATGCATATCGATTTTGCATGAACCTGGAGATGATAAGTGGGGTTATGAAAAAGCATCGGAACGATGGTTACCAGTTCACACAGTTGAGACCATTCTCATAAGTGTTATTAGTATGCTTGCAGATCCTAATGATGAAAGTCCTGCTAATGTGGATGCTGCCGTAAGTAAAATTTTACTTGCACGAACTTAAAAACATCAAAATTAACTTAACTTTTTAAGTGTAATTTACATATTAAATATTATTACTGTAGAAAGAGTGGAGGGAAAGTTATACAGAATTTAAAAGAAAGGTGGCAAGGTGTGTCAGAAAAAGCCAAGAGGAGTGTTTGTAGGAGATGAACAATTATTCAAATGGAAAGACTTATTTAATTCTGGTAAATTTTATATTCACATGAAGTCAAATGAGATGTTTATTTTCTGAAGTTTAAAAAATATCCTAATTCTTATAGGGATGCCGTAAGCACTGTAAGAAAGAAACCAATGCTCAGCATTAAGCTAATGGATAACAGTGCCACTAAAAACGGATAAAGCCTGACCCATTCTTAAACAGAACAAGGGAGGCAAAGTGTGTGCGAAAAGAAAAGATAAAACCACACGCTTTTATCAAGTTTATACCACCGCCACTGACGTACCATCCATTGATACGAAAAACATAAAGGAAATACATGCAGCTCACCTTTTACATAATAAACTAAAAAACTAATTTACACGTATACATAATGCAAAAAAATTATCTGTACGATTATTACCTTAATATTGATAGTTATGAACTTAACTTCCCAGTTCCTCCTGCTCAAAAGCTAGCCCCACCCTTTATACCTAAAACCTTGTAATTTAAAATGTTTATGTTTATCATTGAACAATAATTCCTTAGTGGCGTTTCGTATTTTCTTACTTTCGTAAATATATATAAATAAATTTTTGTAAAGTCAAGTTAAATGTAATGCCAGTAAAAATAGAAACGAAATATATGTGAATCAACTGTGACACTACGACAAACATAATGTCGAATAAGCTGTACAATCGCGGCTATGTAAAGATATGTGAAATTTCCGTTGAACCGTAAGTTGCCAAAATAACGAATTCTAATTAAAGTGATAATAATATTAATAACGATACTATTATTAGAATTATACTATTAATTACATTAGTAAACGTAACGTGAAATTGCGTACACTGCTACAAAGACTTTATGAACATTTTAAACCAGTGCCAGTTTGTGAAGTGATTGTTCAAGTGATTTTTTTTTTTTGTTTTGTTAATATGTAAACTTGCGGTTCTGAACTATAAAATACGTTCAAATTTGAAAAATTTTTTTGTCCAACTAGGTATAATTTCATATTGTCAATTAAATTCTACAATATGACAAATGACTATCTTGACATTGAACCTACTTTCACACACTTGTAAAATACTACTTACTAAACCTTACATAATGATCTTCAAAATTATTGGAACAGATTAATTCTTTTTTATACTGTGATTTAATTATTTACTCATATATAAATAAGTAATGATATTTTATTTTTAATAGATAAAACATAATTAGTATTTGAATAAAATTTTTCTTCCACATTTTTTTTTTTTATTTTTTTAATTACTGTTCACAAATATTGGTATTAAAAACTTTTTTCTAGTGTAATTCATAGTGTATTTGTAATATGAATATTATGGTTATCAAAGAATTTAAATACTTTTATATCACATGCAAGTAAAAATTCTGTATGATAAATTGATAGTAAACAAAAATAATCATATATTTACATTTAAATCATTCATTTGCACGGTTTTCTGAAATAATACGTTAATTTTATATAATTCTATTGTTATTTAGTCATTATATTCGAGATTAATAAACATTCATTTGCTGGTAATATCTTATAAAAAACAAATTGAAGTATTAAAATTATTTTTCATAATTTTTTTAATTGAATTTTTGATTTTCATCGTATAGAAGAAATTTATATTTCGAAATTTTCTGTGGAAAATTTCATCTTTTTGTGTTATTCGTATATTTTGTCCACCGTGTATATAACTGATGAAATACGAAATAATCTTATGGGATGAGGTGGGGGGCTTTCAAACTCAGTTGAGCTGCGTGAACAACCAAATTATGTCGGCCTATCGGCAATATGTATTTGAAATTTCTTTCGACTAACTTGGATACGCATTCTGAAGATTTGTTTACGTTAGCAAATACATATATACGTTATAAAGTCGTGCAACAATAATTAAATTTTTTTTATATATTTGACGCAAATCTTGTAAGAAGTTCAAGAAGTATTACAAAAATTGGACTTCTTCAAATTAGATTTCTGCATACATTCTTAATAAAAATTTAATATGTGTTAACACAGTATCTTAAGTTAGAAACAATAGTAAAATAGTATTGCTATGGTTAATATTGTTTATGACTCGTTTTGCAATTATTATTATTACGTGTTATTGGAAATTATAACGTGTTTTCAAGACGTTTGGTTTGTTTTGAACCAATTAATTTGTAATCATGAATGATGATCAAATTATTTCGACTTTGCCGGATACACAAAATGCGGATTCAGTATGTTTGACTCAGTCACAAGAATTATCGCAGAAAAAAGTTTTGTCTGTATGGGGAAGATTGTGCCCACTTAAATTTCCCTTTAAAACAATGGGTAAGGATATACATTCATTTAATGTTTCTCTTATATTAACTTATAAAAACAAAAAAAATTATTTTTAACAAATTTATAAAATAGATGCAAATATGATTTTTTATTTATTATAAAGAAATAGTTAAGAAATATTTGTTGCATGTAAAAATTTAAATTTTATTTGAGTAATTACTTTTACAGAAATGACTAAGGATGTTTATACACTTGGTCGACTAGACACGTGTGATATTTGTGTAACGGAAAAGGAGTTGAAACCAAAGTGGCTTCTTGTAATGAGTAAAATACATTTTAAAATAACTAGAGAATATATTGATGGTAATACTGAGGATGCTGTTGTGTATTTAGAAGATTTAAGTCATAATGGAACTTTTATTAATAAGAAAAGAGTAGGACGAGGAAATAAAGTAGTACTTGAAAGTAATGACATTATATCTTTAGCTCAACCAGTAGTCACTGGTAAATATATTTTTATGAATATTTAAATAATTTATTCACAGAACATATTCTAATTATATTTGTTTTTGTTTACAACAGTGTATGTATTTATGAGTACTATTGCATTTGAAAATAATGACTTACCTTCTGAACTTAAAAATAAGTATGCAGTTTCACGCACATTAGGATCTGGTGCTTGTGGAGAAGTGAAACTAGTTTTCTCTAAAGTTGGCTGTAAAAAATTTGCTATGAAAACCATTACAAAAATAAGTACTGTGTCAAATGGACAAAGATATGCAATAAATGATCCTGATAAGATTATGAATGAAGTCAAAATATTGAAAGCCTTAAAACATGTAAGTTCATACATATATCATTGTAATTACTTATGTTAATAAATGTTTTATATTTTTAGCCCTGTATAATTAGAATGGAAGAAATTGTAGATACTCCTAGGGCAGTATATATAGTTCTGGAATTAATGGAAGGTGGTGAACTCTTCGAGAGAATAAAAAGCAGGGGAAAATTAATAGAGAAATATGCAAAACTAATTTTTTACCAAGTTGTATTAGCTGTAAATTATCTTCATGACTGTGGTATAACTCATAGGGATTTAAAGGTATTTATCAAAATATGTTTTATATAAAGTTTTTTTACAAAATAAAAATAATAAATGATTATAATTTACATATAGCCAGAAAATATATTATTAGCCAGTAATTCTGATATAACATTAGCAAAAGTATCTGACTTTGGTTTGTCAAAATTAGTTGATGCACAAACTATGATGAAAACTTTCTGTGGAACACCTATGTATGTTGCACCTGAAATATTAAGTAGTATTGGACATGGTTCTTACACGAATCAAGTATGTTTGTACAATAATAATCTAGTTGACCATAAAGAATAATAAGATTTATTTTTCAAAACAATGTTTTTGATTTCATTAGGTAGATGTATGGAGTTTAGGAGTAATATTATATGCTTGTCTAAGTGGTGCAGTTCCCTTTAACTGCCAGAATAAAAACATTAGTTTGCAAGAGCAAATAAAGAGAGGATATTATAGTTTTCCTCCTTCTAGATTTGGACATGTTTCAAATAAAGCTACAGATTTGGTATGAACTGACATTATTAAACTTTACAATATGAAGTACTTTTAATTTCTAACAAGATTGTCTTTTAGATTAGGAAAATGATGACTGTTAATCCCAAGAAACGTATTACCATAAAGCAAGTGTTGTTACATCCTTGGTTACAAGATCGTGAACTAAGGGATACTGTGGATATGTTATTTTCAACTGAAAATAATGAAAATATAGCGCCGCAAAGTAATTCAAATAACATCCAATATAAGAGTGAACAGCGTCCGAATTTAATAAAACGAGCGCGCTTCGAACTATAGCGGAAACAAAAAACATAGTATTAATTAATATATAACTGACTCACTGCCTTCTGAAATTAGCTATTAATGATTTTTTCTTTGTTAAATAAAATCATTAAGTTTTTATTTCTTTGAAGGAGTATATTTATCTTTTCTGAATAATGTTTATAAACAAACAGAAAATTCTACTGTATTTTTATGTACAAAACTTTTTATTACAAAACTATTTATTTGATAAAAGCATAATTTACCATCATTCTTTACATTAATTGATAGTGATATGTAAAGTAATTACACTTTAAACTAATTTACCTTACAGATTCAGTTACAGTATTAGTATTCCAAACATATTTATTAAAAAAATATACAATAACTAAGATATATACCAAAATGTTATTCAAGTAACTATTTAAAAAAATTATTTTTCTATGTCATATTCTGAATCGTCGGCAGCAGTAAAAATTTGTTAAGTATATACTATATATATGTATGCGTGTTACGTTTTTGCTACACAAATTTATATATGTATATTAGTATGATAAAATTAATAGTCTGCATATCAGGAAATTGTTATTCTGATAATTTTTCAGTTTAAAACAAGCAACACTTTGTACATAAGAAGAAAAACCGGTTTATATACAATTACAAATCATTTCAAGAATAATGTTTTATTAATCAAGTATTTTCTCTTCCTTTAAGTTCACTCTTTTCTACACGGAAATATTTCATCGCCTCTGCATGGATTTGGAAGCGAAGTTTCCATTTCTGGTCGCTTTTTCTTAGTTAACCCTGCTAGCAATCTCTTTATCTGAGCGATTGCTTTCCCCGGATTTAAGCCCTTAAAAAATAATTAATTCAATATTCAAATATGACCTACTGAAAACGGGTATTTTGGTATTTAAATTATGCTTTAAATCTTTCACCTTTGGACATGTCTTAGTACAATTAAAGATAGTGTGACAACGATATACCGAAAAATAATCTCGCAATTTACTAAGTCTTTCCCTATGCCCCATATCTCGTGAATCCATAATCCACCTGTATGCCTATATGAAATTTTCAAGAATTAATCCCTAATTATTAGTTCCAGATTTTTATGTTATACCTGCAGAAGAGTTGCGGGACCTAAAAATTTATCGCCAAGCCACCAATACGGTGGACAAGCATATGTGCAACATCCGCAAAGTATACAGTCATACAATCCATTGAGTTTATTCCTATCCTTTGGACTCTGTAAAATTTGTCGTAAACCAAGGAAATTTTCTTCTCCGGGACGCTTTAAAAATGGATCGACTTCTTCGTATTGTTTCAAAAAGTGCGTCATGTCTGGTATTAAGTCTCTAATTATATACGTATGTGGCAGAGGATACACGATTATAGGCTTCGATGATTCCTTCACCTTTCTAACATCAGAGAAACAATGTATTTGATCTTATAATAATACTATATAGTTTTTGTTTTGTTTTAATATAATTGCTTTTAACAGCAACTCAATGGCGCGACTAGAATTGTGCGATAAAGTATTACATTGTTTATTATAAAGAAATTGTTTCAAATGATACTGTACACCACTTCTAGTTACGCTACTGAGGCAACTAAAAGTTAGCTACTACGCTACTGAAAAAGTATTTTCCCGCTTTACGTGATGCAAGCCAAGGTATTGACACCATTTATATTCATCCCGCAAGTTCCACAAATTCCCTCTCGACAAGATCTTCGAAAGGATAATGTAGGATCATGTTCTGCTTTTATCAACGTTAATACGTCTAACACCATAGTGCCACATTTATTTAAATCCACACTGAATTGTTGCATGTGCGGTTTCACATTTGGTTTTTCTGGGCTCCAACGGTATACACGAATAGTTTGAAGTCGTGGCTTCTCCTTCTTTATTCGTTGCTAAAAAGTAACCAATCATGACAATATTAAGTTTCCTAAATTATAGTCTGAAATTTTAAAATTGGAACAAGGATTCAATATTTTCTTTATCACGATATTGACACTAACTTCTGGAGGTAGCTTGCATTCTTTCATGCTCATCTTTTCGGCTTCAATGAAGCTTTCCTTTTCGGATGGCTGTTTGTCAGATTTCTTTGCACTGGCCAAGAATCGACAATTTTGATAACCATTGCTTCGACACGTGCCTCCACGAAGAGACGCGATCGTACAGGACCAAAATTGGCTTGCATGACTGACGATATTGCGGGTAAACATATTTGTAAAAAAGTATTTTATAAGGTGCCTTTCATAAATGTTACTCAGGCTACAACGGTATATTTCGTTTTTTCAATAGTTCAATCATTTCATTTTACGATGACTCTTCGTTAAGATGGAAACAAAATATCATCGTTTCGAAAGAACTTCATAGTTATTCACAACGATTTTGTTGCCAAAAAATGAAAGTATAGGGTGTACTAGACAATAAGTATGTAGCATGGAATTTGATAACCAAAAAGATTAATTATAAAAATGAAAAGTATTTATTTTTCATCAACACTTTCTACCTAAACTTATTTTACTGAAATACGTGAATGAACCGTGAGCTGTTTAGAACTAACGCAAGTAATAAATTTCTCAATTTTTAATAACATTCAAATACGCAAATTGCAAAATTATACAGGAATTTTCCATTTGTTTTGACGCGAAGAATTGCACTTTTCAGATTGCGTACCGTTCTTGGATACTCTATAAAATTCATAACATAATTGCTGGACTGACGTAAATAACTTGATACGCGAACACAACATTGAAGTTTTGCAATAATAACAAATATTAGCTACTATCTTTTCTTTTAAACAGTTCATTATATTTATTTTTGAGTTTTACCATTTATTTTTTCATATTATTATTCTGTAAATTGTACTTCCGTTTCTTATGAATTTCTTTAATTAGTTCTATTAATTTGTACAACATTATGAGAGACTACTGAAAAATAATTCCTTCGTAACACTCCAGAAATAATTATATCATGATTGGTCCCAATATCAATGTGCAAAAATAAATTTTATTATAAAAGTCATGGAACAGTATTAACCAATTTTTCTGTATCTTATTTACAGTGTTAACTTTTTATAAATATTTGTCCTATTGTCTGTTTTGTGATAAAGAACATTTTGCATATCGTACTATATTTAAAGGTCAAATGTTATCACTCTGTGTACTGGATATAATGAATTAACCCCCGCGAAGAAGTAGTCTTTCGTTTACGCGCATCGAGATATTCTAATCGTGCATTAAAAATCATACGCTTTTACTCATAAATATATAAAGTGTTAGTGAATAGCATAAAGTATTTAACATCTCCATTTAACTTGAGTAGCACCTGTTGCTTCAGGTAATATATATATATATCGTTCAAGTACCGCTTATTTAACTGTACGAAATTTTGAATTATGTACAATTTGTTAAAGTAAAAAGAAATAAATTAAAAATATGTATATTAGTCAACCACAATTGATTCATCTTAGTATCAAGAAAATATATGCGAAAAATTCATGAGACACCATAAACACAGAGGTTATAGATTTATGTAATTGATATATTTATATGTACTATTAATGGAAATATATTTATTTTTATATGTTTTATGTGTATAAGAATATTGAAATGATTTATAAATGTTTTGTATCTTTTTATGTATTACATATGATTTGTTAAATTTTTATATAAATTATACAACAGATTCAATATTTTTTATTTTGTTCTGATTTTTAATACTCTGTCATAATGAATATAAAGTATTGTATTCTTTAGACACTATGCAGGATACTGTTTTGATTATTGGTGGTGGAGGTAGAGAACATGTTATCGCTTGGAAACTTTCACAGTCTCCACATGTAAGTAAATTAAATAGAATAATAAGTATTATTTAAGGAAAAAGTAATTTTAATAATAATTAAATTATTCATCATAATATTATTCCTATGCAATATTTTATTGTAAAATATATCTTTTTCAGGTAAATAAGATTTATGTTTCTCCTGGAAATAGTGGGATCGCGTTACTCAATAAGGTCTCCTTGATAAAATTAAATGTGAAAGATAATAAGGTATATTATATGAACATTTAAATTAAAATATGAATTACATTGCAGCTTTACTAAAATCATAAAGTTTATTTTATAGGAGATAGCACAATGGAGCAAAGAAAATGGTGTAAATTTGGTAGTTGTTGGCCCAGAAGAATATTTAGCAAATGGACTAGCAGATGAATTAAAAAATGTGGGAATTAGTTGTTTTGGTCCACAAAAGGCAGCCTCTAGAATTGAAGCAGACAAATATTGGGCAAAAGAGTTTATGGACAGGCACAAAATCCCTACTGCAAGATGGAAAGGATTTGTGGATGCTGAAGAAGCAAAGAAATTTGTTATAAAGTAAATGCAAAATTTTATATAAAGATGTATTATAAGAACAAATTGTTATGTATAATAATTTATTATAGTGCACCATTTCCAGCACTGGTAATAAAGGCTTCAGGTTTAGCAGCTGGAAAAGGTGTTATAGTAGCGAAAGATCAACAAGAAGCATGTAAGGCAATAGATGAAATCTTAACAGACAAAAAATTTGGATCTGCTGGAGAATCAGTAGTTGTAGAGGAACTACTAGAAGGAGAAGAAGTTTCTGTGCTTGCATTTACAGATGGTATAATATTAAGAACTTTTAATAAATCAAATTCGACTTAGATACAATAAAATATATTTTACTTCTAGGAAAAACTGTTGTACCAATGGCACCTGCACAAGATCATAAAAGAATATTTAATGGAGATAAGGGACCAAATACTGGTGGCATGGGTGCTTATTGTCCATGTTCATTATTAAATAAAACAGATTATGATGCAGTGAAATCAAATGTTCTTCAAAAAACAATTGATGGTCTTAGAGATGAACAAATTCCATTTATTGGTTTGTAACATATAGTATAAGTATATTTATGTTCATAAAAAGTAATAAAATTGTAACAAATTTGTCTCATAAAATATAGGTGTATTATATGCTGGATTAATGTTAACAAGAGATGGACCAAAAGTTCTAGAATTTAACTGTAGGTTTGGTGATCCAGAAACACAAGTAGTACTACCACTACTAAAGTCAGATTTATTTACAATTATGAAGGTAATGTAACTACAACATAGAACACTTTAGCTAAAATTAATTTGATGTACATTCGTATAGGCTTGTTGTGAGGGTTCTTTAGTTGAATCTCAAGTTATATGGCAAGAAGGTGTATTTGCTGTTGGTGTTATTTTGGCTTCTCGAGGATATCCAGCATCATCGTCAAAAGGCCAAGTTATAACAGGTGTCGATAACATTTTGAATAAACCAAATCATTTTGTTTTTCACAGTGGAACAAGTATTTCACCTGAAGGAGAATTACTAACTAATGGTATATTTTTATTTCGCTAATTTTATATGTGAATATGTTCAATATTCCTTTAATTCAAGAATATTATTTTCATTAGGAGGGAGAGTTTTAATTACTGTAAGTTTAGCACCTTCTTTAGCTTTAGCTGCTGCTAAAGCAACGTATGCCGCGCAAAGCATATCATTTGAAGGAAAACAATTTAGAACAGATATAGCACACAAAGGAATTGCAAGGTATTTTGTAGATGTGACATATGAAACAAAAAGCAATACTAAATAAACAATATTTTCAGATCTATTTTACATCACGGAAAATTAACATATAAAAGTAGCGGCGTTGATATAGCAGCTGGGGATTCATTAGTTTCAGCTATAAAACCAGTGACTTCTTCAACTCAACGTTTGGGTACATTGGGGTCAATTGGTAGTTTTGGTGGTTTATTTGATGTAAAAGCTGCTGGCTATAAAGATCCTATTTTAGTATCTGGTACTGATGGTGTTGGTACCAAATTGAAGGTAATTTTATATTTATAGTAAATATCGCTATAGTGACGATAAATAAAAAGTATATCAATTTGTAGCTAGCATTTGAATGCAATAAACATGACACAATAGGAATAGATTTAGTAGCGATGTGTGTAAACGATGTTCTTGCACACAATGCCGAACCATTATTCTTTCTCGATTACTTTGCTTGTGGCAAACTAAATGTTGATGTTGCGCGAAATGTTATAAGTGGAGTTAGTGAAGGATGTAAAAGAGCTGGATGTTCATTAGTAAGTAAACATAATTTCTTTATTTTTATTGGTTCTTTACTCAAATATGCAAATACAATTTTAGATCGGCGGCGAAACAGCCGAAATGCCTGACATGTATTCCAGCGGAGAATACGATTTAGCAGGGTTTGCTGTAGGCGCAGTTGAAAGAAATAATCTACTTCCGCGCACTAATGATATAGAAGAAGGTGATATTGTAATTGGTCTTCCATCAAGTGGAGTGCACAGCAATGGATTTAGTCTTGTGCGGAAAATACTAAAGTTGGCGAATAAAAAATACTCAGACATAGCACCTTTTTCAAAAAATAATCGCACGATTGGTACTTGCTTTCCTTGTTTATAGTGTATGTTAAAATTCGTATTTATAAAATTAATTTATTTCTATTTATTATGCAATAAAGGCGACGAATTGTTAGAACCAACAAAAGTTTATGTAAAAGGAGTAATACCAGTTTTACGAACAAATTTAGTAAAAGCGTTTGCGCATATTACTGGAGGAGGTCTCACAGAAAATATACCAAGAGTTTTACCAGAAAATATGGGTGTTGTGTTAGACGCAACAACATGGGAAATTCAACCAATTTTTGGTTGGCTAGCAGCTGTTGGTGAGAAGTCAATTCAAATGTCCATTAAATTATCTAATTTCCATTTAATTTATACGTATTTTTTCCAAAAATATTTTTTTAGGCGGAATTAGTAAAGAAGAAATGTTGAAAACATTCAATTGTGGTATTGGCGCCATTTTAATTTGTTCAAGTAAACATAAAAATGAAGTTTTACTTAAACTACAAGCAGAAAATCCCAAAGTTATTGGATATACAAGTAGTTATAAAGGTAAGATTCATTTAACATGATTGGAATATAATTTTCTTTATGTGATATATGTATTGAAATATTTCAGACAGTAAAATTAGGGTAAATGTTAAGAACTTTGAAGAAGCAATAGAATTAGAAATGAAACAGTATGTACCAGATATTGTTTCAAGCTTAAGTAAACCTTTGAAGAGAGTAGGTGTTCTCATATCTGGTAGCGGAACCAATTTGCAAGCGTTAATTGATGCGACTCAAGATTCATCGCAACATATTGGCGCTGAAATTGTTATAGTAATATCCAATAAACCGAATGTGGAAGGACTTAAACGAGCTGAAAGAGCTGGCATTAAGACAGTGGTAATTAGCGTTCTTTTAATTATTTAATCCTTGCTGTGCTATAACAGTATCCATCATATATTTAATGTATAATAACAGGTCATCAAACATACTGATTATCCTACCAGAGAAGCTTTCGATGCAGCAATGAATGTAGAACTTGACGCTGCCGGAGTTGAGATAGTTTGTCTTGCTGGTTTTATGCGTATTCTGTCAGATAGTTTTGTTAATCGATGGCGTGGCAGTTTAATAAACGTACACCCTTCGTTGTTACCATCATTTAAAGGGGCTCAAGCACATAAAGATGCTTTAGCAGCTGGAGTACGTGTTTCAGGCTGTACAGTACACTTTGTTGAGGTGTGGAAAAATTTTAATAGAATTAATATGAACATATGATATCAGGTAAAAGAATTTCTTTATATTTTTAAAAATGTTTCTTACAGATTGACATAGATTCTGGGGCAATTATTGAACAAGCAGCAGTACCTGTATTACCAAACGATACCGTAGAATCTCTTCAGGAACGAGTGAAAACGGCGGAGCATCGTGTTTTTCCTCTTGCTTTGAAACATTTGGCTACCGGAAGAATACAACTGAAAGAAGATAATTCAATCGTGTGGAATTTTTAAACTCAAAGCGTGGTTTCATTATTTCGGAAGAAATAATTCTTACTCATTTATTATTTATCTCCTAATTGTTGAAGATAAATTGCTAACACAATTCTGAAAAGTACATATCACTGTTCACGGATGTTTTCTATTGAAAATCGAAAATATCATGTCAAGTATACTATTGTCACTTTTGTTAACAATAAAATTAGAATCTTTATTTTTTGAATGAGAATATTTTTTCTTTATTTTCGGGGGCATAGCAAGTGCTTCATTTGCAAAATCATCTAATTTAACATGAAACATTTGTTTCTGTAGTACAGGTACCAATAGATTGTATTTATCAATCTTTTTATTTATTTGTTTTGTCGTGGATTTAAAATCATCCAAAATATTTTGCCAAATTACTTCTTCTCCAGGACTTAATGGGATAGGTCCTACATTATTTCGTGCTTCTGCAAGTTTGTTTTGTAAATCTTGTTTCTGTTCTCTAATTTCTTTAGATAACTGTATCCACTCAGGGGTAAATCCATTTTCTATTAATATCTGCAATTTAAATCTGTAGATTATTTCCTAAAAATTTTTTAAGCTAAACAATTTTTCATACCTCATTTAATTTATAAGTAACAAAATCAACATATGGATTTCGAGTATTTGTATTCTCTTTTAATGGTTTACCCATTCCTGGCAAATCACTGAATTCACCTTTATTCATGGCTTCTTGAATTAAATCTTCCACTAGACGATCCATACCAAAACGTGTTTTAATATCTTTTGCACGTTGTTTATCCATTCCAACCAATGTGTTACGCTCTTCAGCTTGCAATCTTTTTAACCTATGCTCCATTACATTATCAACAGCTTTTTGAGCCTTTTCTATACTATACAGCTTTTGTCTTTTACTAGGTGTCCCAATTCCTACATTGTATGCTAAGTAATGACGATGTTGTGGTGCTGTATGCTAAAAATATGTATATGTTTAGATCAATAAAAAATCACTAAATAAAATGATGCTTTATGGAGCTTTAATATAAGATATCATACTTTGATATCAAATTCTTGAACTTCAGGTAACTCTGTAGTATTGTCTTTCTGTTCCATTCTTGCTTTACGAATTTGTCTATAGGCATTTTCAATCTGTGGGTCACAATGTGCTATATAATATGTATGCTACATAATTCTCAAATATAGAATATTATACCTCAGAAAATTTGACTGCACTAGCTTCTGCTGTACCACTGTCTGGATGAAACCTTTTTGCCAAATAGACAAATGCTAGTCTTAGTGTTTCATCTTCACAGTCTTCTGGAACCTCCAATGCCTGATACCATTTCTTAACATACAAAATTTAATCACTATTCATGCATGTGTATTAATGTACCACAATGATATTTGAAGTAGCAAACGAGCAATATAATAATACAAGTTGTACCTTCATATTAAGTTTATGTGAGTGCCTTTTTATGTACATAAAATCCACATATGGATTACAGAGGGAATGTCTAAACGACTTCCCACTCAAACAATGAAATTTTAACATGATTTTTAAAAAATGTAATGCCTTTTTTTATATAATTACGTAATTAATTGGACTATAAGTGTTATATATGTATATGTTAACTATCGTTATTAAAAAATTGATTAAATACACAACGTAGTAACCTATGCAATTTTACATTAACAACTTGCAAATTATACATTATATGTGATAATGTCTTAAAATGTAGATTCTTAAAGAACCTACGGGTTACAATAATGTTACAAATTATTAAATTATAATAAATTTGTATACTGTTTCACAAGATTTACAACGCAAAATGTCAACATGACATTGACGTTTCAAAATATATACATGTGGCCGTAGACAGAGCCGCCGATGAAGTTTGTGGAACCCGGGTAAAGTCGATATTATTTTCAACAAATGCAATTGACTTTCGTTATATTATTATAGACAACAATTAAATGATAAAAGAGCTTTTTATACAGCGTTTGAAAACTTCAAATAAAAGATTTGAATCTTTTGGAAAATTTAAGTTTAGGGTGCTCTGTTTCCAGAGACTCACTCAAGTATTTTGCCTAAACTTAACGATGACACAGTATACAGAATTCAATACGTTTATCATAAAATTAGCTGTTTATTATATAATCCTTAATTCATAAACAATATAAAGTTATAAATAGTATCTTTTATCATTGCTGACCTATTTCAAATATGTTATTTTTAAATTGAGAAATATTCGCGCAATCTAGTAATAACAGGTGTGCGTTTCTAGGGAAGAGTGTTAAGCTTTTGTTATTCGTATTATTTCTGAAAGTGTCAAGATGTCGTTTGTATTACATTCGTGTTTAGCTGTAAAATAGAGAGAACAAATGCAAATTTGAAATTAAATTATAAATTATAATGACAAGTAATTACTGTGAATGAGTATAATTCTGAGAACAGTGGATTTATTAGTTGTAAAGTTCAGTCTTACAGAATTTCGTGTGAAGTTACTCAAACATTTATCGTGATTGGTATAAGATTTCTTTTCTTTGCCTATGTTTAATTTTAAAAGATTACTCCAAATTAAGCTACTACCTCAGTAATTTTATTATGTTACATGATTTGTAAGATAAAGAATCTGTGATAATTTCGATATTCACACATTGATACAAACAATACATGCTACACATGTGAATAAAACCGGATGTGTACATTTTGTAGGCATGCGTATTACCATATTGTGTCTTTTTTCGCTTTCCGTTGACGTCAGTTTTCCATGTACTTGCATAAAAAAGCGTTACGAGAGATTCTAGAATTTATAATTCGATTGTTTTAAAGGCACAATTATATTTATTTTATGTTGTATCAGTTGATGTTGTAAATGTTCGGTGAAATATAACATTTGTATGGTGTGTTTGATGCGCTGAACTTCATCGTGATTCTTGCGAGTTTGCGATATAAACATGCAAATGCAAGAAGCGGAAGGAGCTGATGGTACGTAAATGTACATTATTTCTATCACGTGTATTTTACTTCTTATTCTCAAAGTATTTAATGAAAGAACGAAATATTACAATATTCAGTTATGACCATTGTGATATACTTAACCTCTATTACCCTATTGGACATTAGGGTTTATATGTATATCAGTATTGCATAGTGGTTACAAATAAATGAAACTACCAATTTTTGTTTAGGCTCACCATGGAACAACTCCAGTGGCTGCGATGAAGAACGTCGACCAACCCAAAAGGAGGGTAAAAAGTCGAATATATTACCTCTTTGGGGAAATGAAAGGACTATGAACTTAAATCCATTAATTTTAACAAATATACAGTCGTCTCACTATTTTAAAGTTAATTTGTACGAATTAAAGACATACCACGAGGTTATTGATGAAATTTATTACAAAGTGTCTCATTTGGAACCATGGGAGAAGGGAAGCAGGAAAACAGCGGGCCAGACTGGCATGTGTGGAGGCGTGAGTATGTTTTCTAATACACTATTAATTCTTAATTTTTATTTATTGACTTAAAACTAAGGAGACCACAGAATTGTTACCATACGCAAGAAAGAACTCCAAATTTATAGCACTTTAAAGGACCTGGACACTCAGTGAAATGAGAACTACCAATAAAAATAAGAAAGGTGAAAACATTTAAAAATAAATTGTACAAAGTGGAAGTTTTAAGTATTTTAGACTTCCACTAATAATGTACAATCAGGGATCAGTATCAAAATATTGGCCACGAACCAGTCTGAATTCAGACACTGAGCAGACAGTCTCACTTAACAGCACACTTACTTATTGCAGAGTAGCATGTTCTCGGTCAATATATTATAATATAATATGAATGAGATTAATTGACATAGGGGGGTGTAAATTTAGCGGTTCATGCAGGTTAGAGGCGTTGGCGCTGGAGGAATTGTCTCGACGGCTTATTGTCTGCTGTACAAACTCTTCACCTTGAGGTTAACACGGAAACAGTTAAATGGTCTTATCAATCATCCTGACTCACCATATATTCGAGCATTAGGGTTTATGTATATTAGGTAAGAATAATAACAGTGTAATATTACAGTTATTATTAACTCATTTGGAACAGTATCAGTCACATAAGCATAGATACATAGATTATGGATGGTTTTATAGTTAAGATGTACCAGAACTTTATCTGTTGTGAATGAGTTAATAATTGTCTAATCTAATATATTATACTTAAAATTATTGTTAATGTTGATAGATATACACAACCACCAGCTGACTTATTTAGTTGGTATAGCGATTATCTAGAAGACGAAGAAGAGTTAGATGTTAAAGCTGGAGGAGGACAAGTAATGAAAATGGGTGATATTCTCAAACAATTTCTTACTAAATTAGAATGGTTCTCAACACTATTCCCAAGAATACCAGTGCCTATACAAAAAGAACTTGAGCATCGATTAGCAGAACGGTTTCCCCAACAATCCATGAATGCTCGGAACGCGAAACCACCTATAACATTGAATAGTCATGGAAAATATAGTAACAGTGGCAACAGAAAAGATAATGGCAATCTTACATCTCGCAATCAACCACGACATATCCCTGATAGCGAAGCTCAATGGGGTGAGGCCGAAAGAACAAGCCAGTGGCGAGCCAGGTGCGTCCACGTGGTATGAATACAATCACGTTACTAATTTATATAAGTTAATAATATTCTATGAACTTGTCAGGGAAGTGGGGTGAAGATTAAAGACGTACCATCTCCAGGAAAATACCCTTGATCTCAATGTATCATCGTTCAGTTTTCTTTAGTACATGTGTATGTTTTCATTTGAGTCTTGTACAGTTATTCGCTCGCTTTTGTAAACTTAATTTAATTAATTTGTTTCTGGGTACATTATCTACTTTTTACTATTATCTACTTTGAATTTTATCGAATTTTTTCGCATTACTGAAGTCATCTCGATATTCATAATAACTGTACACTGATCTTTTTTACACATTCGATATCAAGGATTATACAAATTGTTGTGTAATATCGAGGTGTTTGAAATGAATCATTTTGTTGTATTTTGCATTACAAATAATTGCATCGTACATATGTATTTTACATTAATTGATATTTTAAAAATGAAACTCATCATTCGGCGTTACTTCCCTTCGAATAATGTTTTTTTCTAGATCTGATGAGGAACGTAAGGATAAGTACAGAGATCGGGAACGTGAACGAGACCGTATCAGAGATAGAGAACGAGAACGAGCACGGGAAAGAGATCGAGAAAGGGATCGTCATTTTAGACGATCAAGTAGTCGCGATCGAAGTCGAAGGCAAAGAGATTATAGAAGTCGTAGTAGAGACAGATCGCATAGAGATAGGAGTAGAGACCGTTACCGTGACAAAGATCGTCATCGAGATAGGTAATTTGTTCTTTAGATATTTTATTAATAAAAAGAATTCTGAATTTTTATCAATTATAGGAGAGGGTCGCCTTACGATTATGCCACAGAACTTGCTCGGGAAAGGGAGAGACAACGAAGAGAATAAAAACATGTACTGATATGTATATATCGACATAAATGTTTGTACGAGTGTAACTATAGAGATAAAAATGATTTAGAACCGAGCCATTCGAACACCACCGCGTTTTAAAGAAATTCCTACTCCATTTGGAGTAATAGCCTAAATTTAATTCGATTATATTCACCATGTAGTTTACATGTTTTTATAAAATAAATTCATGATTATAATTATTGTGTCTCCTTGCTTTATTCCATAAAACAAAATTCCTTGTATGTATAAACTATATTGCGAAAAGTAGTTTTTTTAAATTAAACAATCTCAATTAAATTCTGTCGAAAATTTAGTTAATTCGTAGTACGAATGCATTGTACCATGGCGCGTGAGTACTTTGGATCGAAGTTAAAAATGGCGACGGATTGTTGCCTCTCTACCGCAGTTGAACGCAACTGAGCAGAAGTTTTACCGAAACATGAGAAAAATATTTATTATCAGGTGACAGCAACCGCGTGGCCAATTTTCAAAGGTGATAGACGTTTTCTTTTTACAAAGGAATTTATCAATATTAAGTCCGATTTGACGTACATATCTATACAACAGTATTGCTATGTTATTTCTCCGTATTACACGTGTACAATGTTAATACTTATTTCATGGAGCGACTAATTTGGTCAAAATTATTGTGACTGACTCGACAATGATTTTTTATTATTAATAATGTAAATTAATCTAATTTTTATAAAACCTTCCAGTGTATGTATGTGTTGAATACTTGACTGTATTTTTTCAAATTATATTAAACAAGGAGTTTAAACAGAACAAAAAAGTGGCATGACGCTGAATCTTTAAGACCACAGTCAGCTACTTATAGTTTCGTTAGTATTCTAATATCTGAAGTGAAATAATTGCGCGCCATCTACAATCTTATGCTAACATATGTTCTAACTTGCGTTTTTTCTCACTTATGTTGCTGTTGGCAACGCGATTGGCAACAAGCCATATTATATCATATTATTATATACATATTATGTAATTATTTATGTTTAATAGCCGTATACATATACTTTTATATTAAATCAAGTATTTTAATTATATAAGAGCCACTAATTTATTAAAATAATTAGCTATACAATGACGTTAACGGTTCTTACTGTTTTATTTGTATTAAGTGCTTTGGCGCTAAAATTTAAACATAATTCAAAACATGGAGGCCACGTTAGCTAACGAATGGTTCATATGAATAAATATATGTGTATTATGCATATAGGAGAAGAAGGTACCACTTCCCACTACTCATTAGATTTTTGGATGCTAAATTTTTTAATTTTTGTATTCATAAATTTTCAAGTTTAGAACTTCAGAAATTTGAAGATTTGAAATCTGGAAATTTTTGGAATCTTGAAAAAGGAAATATTGAAATTTGAAAATTTATAAATATGAAAATAACTGGTTCTATTTTAGAATTATTATATAAGTGCGAGACACACCAGTTCATCTTCTTCATATGAGAATCTTAAATTTTTCAGATGATTGGCCGACGCTGTGCTCTCGTTGCTTTGGGCGGACTTTTGATTCTTGTCCTCAGTGTCAATGTATATTTCATACGAATGATCGTAGAGAGCTCGTCGCACAAAGCCTCCTCAAAAGGTATGCCAGCCTCACAATTGAAGCCTGAACAGGAAGAATTAATATCTCAGGCAGAACAAAATTTACAAGTTCTGCAAAAATCGGTCGCAAAAAATATGGCGAAGAAGATTATGGATGAGATTCAAATATTACCATCAAGATACTTCAAGCAGAATACCAGTTACATGATAGTATTGGACCGATTGTTAACTGAACTGAGAATAACGCCTAATGTTCGTGAAAATATATGGAATATTCCTAATAATAACGTTAGTAGTATACTGAATATTTAGACAATATAAAATAAGTAATATTGTATTTATATTAATATTGTATTTTTAGTGGCCTGATGCTCATCAATTAATTCCACCGGTTGCACCTGAACTGGGAACAATACTGGACACTTTACGCAAATCAAGAGTGATACGAGCGGATAACGCGCCACTTGGTACGCAACTGAAATTAATGTTAACATTGGAACACGGGACGAAAGCGATGTTCAAGCCTCAGTGGTATTCTAGGGACGCTATTATTCGAGGGCCTGTTTACCACGGTAAAGACAGGCACAATGCTGAAGTTGTAGCATTCCACTTATCTTCCTTACTGGCCTTAAGAAGAGTACCTCTTACCGTTATCAGAAAACGTATGTACGTTTCATTTACATTTCAGTTAAATTCTATCAGGATACCATGCAGGATATAAGGATTCTCCATGAAAGAAGTAAACACAATTCCTTCATCAGTTTACAACTTCTCCAACTATCAAACTTTCTGGAATGTTACATTTTTAAATTTTTAAGTTAATTTAAGTTGTAGATTTCAAAATCAGTTTACTTATTTTTTCATGAAGAATCTAAAGTTTCTAGTTTTGAAGTATCTTGTGTAGTCTGACCCACAATGTTACTTGGAAAGATATTTAAAAAAGATTGTTACCCAGAAAGATAATTCAAATTATATTTGCAGTCGATTTAAGGAACGAGATTCGACCACGAGCGACCCCCGAGCTTTACGCTACCATGTACCAAGACGGTAACGATACTTGTCTCTACGGAATCTGCCATTACTGTTCGCCCGCAGATCCAGTTTGCGGATCGGGAGACGTTTTGGAGGGTGCTTTAATTTCTTGGCTACCGCGGTACTTAAAACTTGTGAAGCACCGTCATCCATGGCAGAGAACATACAAAAGAAACAAATTTGCCATGTGGGAGACGGACGACAATTACTGTGAAAAAGTATAAATCTATTGTACTTCTTTGTGAGTTAAAAATAGTATCAATACATGCATGTTGTTTTTAGGTGAAAGATTCCAAAGCATATTCACCACAGTCATCGAGTAGACTTTTAGATTTAATCGACACAGCTATTTTCGATTTTTTAATGGATAATGGGGATCGCCATCATTATGAACTGGCGCAGAATAATTTTCATAACCCCGCTGTTTTATTAATTGATAATGGGAAGAGCCTGGGAAATCCTGACGTTGATCATTTTGATATTTTAGCTCCATTGTATCAGTGTTGCATGTGTGTATTTATTAAATATTTTTGTGATGTTATTTCATGGCTTATTTAAGATTAATATTTTTCTTATTTTGATTAATATTTTTACTTTAGGATTCATAAAACTACTTGGGATCGTTTGAAACTGTTCAGTGGTGGAACTTTGAGCATAGCTCTTGGAAGACTCGTTGAACATGAGTCTATGATGGCGGATGTTCAACCGCTTGTCACAGATGCCCACTTAAGTGCCATGGATAGGAGATTGCTTACTATTTATGCGGTTGTAGAATATTGTTTAAAAAGTAAGAAATATGCTTCGAACGTTATTCTGGATCACCGGTAGTTCATCTTTCACAAGCTCTAGTGCATTTATCAAATTTGAATGTTAGGAAAATGTTCCTGCTGTGAGCTATGAACTGTATCTTTAAGTACCAATTCAAAGTGTTGGTTTAATTTAAGATTTCTAAAAATCTTATTGGATTGTTATTAGCACGAAAATAATGTACATAGTAGAAACAAATAAAATAGCTTTATACGGTCTATGTAATGACCTTGTTTTCTTTAAATACCTGACCCTGAAATTATAGATAATTTAGGATTTCATACTGCATCGCGTACTTATGCGCAGTTGTACTGCGCACATTACGCTTCAGAAAGGTGATTCTACGAATTACATCAGAACGTAACTTAACGTTTGTTATAAATGAACCAAGGAGAGCATAAGTAGTAGCAGGTGGCATGAATGCTTTGAGAAATTTCTGAATCTGAAATTCGGTACCAGGAGAATACGAGTGAGTGAAGTGCAGAACGAAAGATTTAAAAAAATTCTTGAATTTGAAACTTGGTATCAGGGAAGCATAAACAGCTAGGAGGTAGCAAGAGTATCACTTCTTGACATTTCAATAACTTCCAGAAATTTTCAAGAACTACTTGTCAAATCTAAGGTACTGATTTTGGAAAGTGGTATTGAATAAACACGAGGAGGTGGCACGGCGGTTTTGGAAATTCTCGATTTTGAAATTTGGTGACAGGAGAACATAAGTGGCAATTTCTAAATTTTTGGAATAATTGTATAACATATTTATGGCTTTCGACTTAGCACACAGAAGACGTTTTAGAGTTACTTAATATTGCTATTTTAAGTGTTGCATTGTCTAAGAAGTGGAAAATGTCAATATTTTAGAATGTACGGTATGTCAAATATAGTTTGTTAGTTCCAACTTTCACCATTAGATGGCGAAGCATTTTAAGAAAAATGTAATTCTCTATATCATCGACAAGATACAGTATAGTGAGCGAACTGTTATAATGACTCAATATATTGCAATAATATTGGCATAAAATAAATATATAATAAACATATATTAATATATTAATATATTAATCAATAAAATCGATATTAATTGAATTAAAAAAAAAATGCACAAGTGGCGCCATCTCTCCGGCGAACAGGCTGAACTACACACTTTTGAAACTGGGCCTTGATTAGTTCTCGCACTCTACCGCTAGACGGCGACACTCAAGACAGAAGCAAAAACTATGAATTTTATATCATTTTCACATATTTCATTCATTTCAAATTTTAATGCAATACTTGTTTTAAATAGTGGCTCTTTTGTTTTTATTCTTGATATGACAAGAAATACAGTTCTTCCTTTTTCAAGGAAATTTGATGAGAATGACTAAATAAATATTCTAAACAATTTAAAGTTTTAGTGTGATTTATTTGATGACACAATAATTATTGTTATTTGAATAAAGTTCGAGTGCAGCGTCGTACAGCGTATAAATACGTTACAAACGTAAAAAACCTGTAAATGCGACTGTATAATTATTATTACGTTACATGCACATCTCGTATTCACCACGTACCACCGATCGAAGTTCGAGGATCGGTTTGAAAACCTGTTGAACATGTACAATATGTATAGTCTGCATAGCCTGTTTTCTGTCTCTCCGACATGTTGCACATAAGGGATCAATTCCTTTGCCTTCTATCGTTTTTTTTTACACTTTACATCGTTATAAAAAAAAAAAAGAACTCGCTGGCTAGCAACTGAGACCTCAAACCGATTTGCATCTAGTGCTATCGTAATGTCTCGCTCGTATTTACAATGTTACATGACCAGAATTACTCACGTATCTTAATTATAAATTTAATCCGTAACATACATTTAGCGCCGTCATTGTTAAGTTGTGTACGTGTGTGTATGTGTGTATGTACGCCGTGTGTACGTGTATATATTATTATTATATTAACATTTTTTTTTAATTAAATATAGTTCTCGTAGCAAAGTATGTATAAATAGACTATTTTTGCACGCACACCATCCAGTATTCGCTTCGAACTGCGCTGCATTCCTAAAGGCGAGACAAATACACTTCGTTTGAGCGTGTTCCGTCCATGAGATCTGTCTATCGATTAAGATTAGCTCTATTACCTGAAGATAATGGACGAGAGGAATGACGGTTTCTCGATCCCTAAAATCATGGCTCAGTTCGAAGACCTCTTTTTTTTGTTGTATTACACGACTTACACGATAATACTGTATATTCCATCCAAATTTCTCGAGTAGAAGATTCGCGTCAAGTTACATCTTAATCGTACTTGATTTGATCGTAGAAATGTATCTGTTTAAAATAGATTCGTACTTCCGTAACGGCAGCGTGAATTATTGCATCGCGTACACTAGTTGCTGTACACGTTTACGTCCAAACGTTCCAAGACATGCGTCTCTTACTTAAGTTTTAATTACATATCACACCGAGGTGCTTTACGCACATAAAAAATCTAGAATAAATATAGGCCAGTTGTAGGCATTCGAAAAATTCTTGACATTTATCATTCTTTTCTTTTTTTTTTCATTTGTAATGCACATCGCTCCGCACCTTACGTAAGAGCAAATAGAAGGACGTATTTTATAAAGAGCATCAATAATATCACGTACTGTCGAAAACTCCTCTTGGTTTTCGCTTTTATAGTTCCATAATTCGCCGTTCGTTTGATATATGTAACTTCATTGTAAAAAGTTAAAAAAAGGAAAGATCTGTATCCTAAAGATATCCAAAATTTATTTTTGATTCTTTTTATTTCTTTTGGCTTTTTTTTCGTTTTTTTTTGTGTCACTCTTTTTTGCGCATTTTACGTCTCGAATAGTATAAATCGTTTTTGAGAAACTGCTTGTTACAAACTGGCCCGATGCACATGATCGTCTTTAAAAGTACTGCCTTGCTCTCGTCGCTGGCAGTAAGAACTATCAAATTAAAGCGCTGATTCTACGCCCCTCGACGAAGACGTTGATGAACTCAAATCTTCAGAGTGTCGAGTGTGCGACGAGTCAAGGGAGGTAATCGAGTCACTGTCGTTGCTGTGAGGACTCGAATAATTGGCTGCTTCCTGTAACCTCATCAACATGTTCAGCTGCAACAACGGGAAATGCGAATTAATTATCATATTGTGAGATTCATGCAAATGTGCTTTATGAATATTATACTTTGATAGTGGACGGTAAACAGGAAGTCTTGCAGTTCCATTAACACTTTGTGGTCCGCCAATATATACAGATTACTTTAATATATTAATCAGTATTAAATTCAATACAGAATTTAAATTTAAACTAAACATCTTTCAGTTGTTAGTATAATTAGCACTTTGCATACAACTTCACATTATTAGCTGAGGATTTGATCTACTCATATTAAAATGCTACCTACATCAATCTTTTTAGTATGTACATACAACCACAATATTAATAAACGAGTCTGGTGTGTATCATTTGCAATGAGAACTAAATTCAGAAGATAATAAAATATTAAAGTATGTGCCAGCTTCAGACTCAGGTAGAATTAAAGTTCAATGCGGTATATCTCAAAGCGTCAATTGCAGTAAAAATAAATTGAAACAAGAATTAACTGCAACATCAGTAAGAAGTATCATTCTGATAGAAATTAATAGCAGTAAAAAGAGATATTAACCAGCGGATCTCCTTCAGTGTCGCTGTGCGTGCTGCCGAGACTTTTTACGCTGGATGCGCCGACCCCGGAAGTGTGTCCCGAAGTAACGACATCATAACCAACGTCTTCAGGCCGTAAACGAAGCAGAGCATCACTGCCGCCGTGCACCGCGTGCGTAGAAATCCACGGATAGCTCGAAGTGATAAATTGAGCTGGATCTTCCCAGGAAGAGTCGCCGTTTCCATTTCCACTCACACGTCTGCCGTAAAGTGTTAATCCTTCCCTAACCGCTTCGACCAGATATGGTATTACGGAGTAGTTCCACAGGTCCGTGAACCATACTTGAGAACCCGTTACTTCCATCGGACAGGACAGAAATAGCCGTGGACCTGAAAATCGAGCATTCAGTGATCGATGTTTCGCCGGCAACGTACAGAAACGAGATAAAGGAAACTTTCAGCGATTTACCTATAGTCACGTCGGAGCTGCTATGCGTTTCTAGGAACTTGTTGAGATGTAGCCAAACCCGTGGTAACCATTCAACCACCGCTGCCATTTCTGCGTTCCTGGTACCGCCGCATTCGCGTAACTCATGCTCCAATAGTTTTCGTCTGAGGTAACGGCCCAAGAAACCTTTTACTGGCTCCATGTGATTGGCGCACAGCACCCACCTAAAACGGTACAAAGTTAGACTGTTATATCAGAAGGATATAAACATAGTAACTTTGAAAGCTTTAACTCTCAAGCTTATGTTAACATTGCATAGTTTAATGTTATATAACAACGTGTTTTGTAATTGGACATTATATCTTTTGTACTTGATTACATTGTAGCATTGTACTGTTGTCATTATCAGCAATTTATGATAGAGTCAGGGGTCTAATTTACATTCTAAAAGTTTCGTCTAACTCATACATGAAGCTGAACCAGCCTAGCTCTTGTACCAGTAATAAAATATAGATAAGCAGCAGAGAATTGAAGTTCTAAAACGAAGCAAAACGTGCCTAAAGTTGTGATGTAACTGAAGATTCGTGGTGCTACAGGTAGCCTGACTCATGGTTCCGATGATGGCTGGACAGGACGAGTGTCTGGTGCCGAGAAGGCCGCTGAACAACTCTCCTAATGACGCAGCGTGTTGGAGATTTTCAAGAATGATCACTCTGGGTAGTTCATCGGCTGCGTTGGAGTCGCATCTTTCAGCGATGTGCGCGAGATACTGTCTGAGTTCTTTGCTGGATTTGTGATCGACGTTGAATGTAGCCACCGCGGTCGCATCCTTCGTATCGTTATCTGCATCTACCAAGGCATGAGCCAATTTTCCGGCTAAATAGCTCTTGCCGGTGCCACTCGGTCCGCATAGAATAACCCGACGATGCTCGGTCAGCAGAGATATCAATCGCTGCACAATGGATCGCGGTATTAGAGTGTCCACGGCGAGCCACGAGTAACCGGAAAGCACCAAATAAATAGTCTTCACGTGGCCAATCAGGTAGCCGCAGGGAAGCAATTCTGGATGCTGAGAGTCTGTCGTACATCTGAAACATCGGTGCAACCGTGAATTCTGAGAAAGATCCATAACAACTAAAAAATTGCGAGGTAATCACCTAGAAGCTTCGCCAAGGTGATAAGCGGAGACGCATTCAACGCCCAGACCCAAATTCGTCACAGGATCTACTCTGGAAACGTATTCCTTGAAACAACGTCTCACGGTTGAATCCAGCGAGTCCCACGTTGTTTTATTGCTGATGCACACGTTCGCGATCACACAGTGAGGAGGTTCACCCATGCTGCCATCCGAAGTACTCCCAGTCACAAGGTTGTAATTGAAATTCTTCTCGCTGCCCAGATAGATGGCCACATTGATCCTTTTCCCGTCTGTGTCCTGTTCCAACGTTGGCTCCCCGACTGTGGAGGTGTTTGATGGCACCACTGTATGTTCTGGTACGTTCAAGTCTTCCAACTGATCTGTGGTTCCACTGCTGTCGCCGTTTGCGAGTGCAGCGACGGTGGAAGCCACTTCTGTCATGCTGAAACGTCTGTCTGGATCACTGGGCAACGACGACTGCGAGGATGTTAGAGACTTTGATGTTACTAGTCTTTGCAGACGTTCGTTGTTCTGCTTCAGATTGAGCATCTCGTTCTGTAAATAGATATATTCATTGTTAGATGTGGAATACTTGTTAAGAGGAAGATGAACGCTGATACATTTCAATCTTTGTTTTAGATGTACATGGAGTGTACTTTCTTTAAGGGTTGGAAATATGAAAATGGTTCAACGTTAGCTTATATATACTACAAAGCAACCATATATTTTTAGGAGGTCCTCAAAAGCTAATAATACTGATTAACATTTACATTTAGATTACTATTAATATCATTGAAAGATGTAACAAAACACACCCTCATTTTGATGACGGTGTCCTTCAAGGACTCCAACTGATGAGCCGAAGAAAGAGCTTCGAGCCTAATGTCGGTCAACACAAGATCCTTTTCCCTCAGTTGTTTCTTCAGCTCGACAACATCCTCGTCCTCTTTCTTGTACAACGCAGAGCTGCTCTTGCTTCCAGTCAGAGGATTCTCGACTTCCGGAGACTTTTGCCCGTTGCTTCTAGTACCCTGTCCCTTGGCGGAGTCGTGTTTGGCAGCGGTGGGTAACCTGGGACTGTTGGGTGCACTGAGATCTCCGCTGGTGGTTTCTTTGCAGTCCTCAGCATCGGAAACGGAGCCGTGTCTGTTCTTTCGCGACCTCGAGAAAGCCTTCGAAAAAGAGCTACGAAGCCAGCCCTTCTTCTTTTGGTGGCTGCTCGCCGAACATGCGCTGCTCAACGAATTCAGCGACGTGACACTATCCGCGGACAACTGCCTCGCCATCGAAGCACCCTGGTGATTGCTGTTCCCGGTGCACCCGGTGGTCCCGGAATCAGAATCGCCGAGAGTGTGACGGCGACCGTTGTTCGCGGACGGTCCGTTGTTCAGGCCGGCTTCGGCGCTCTGTTTTCGAAGCCTTTCGATCGTCTCTCGAAGCTCCTGCAGCTCGGAATCCTGGAAATTAGATGGACACTCAATTTCGGAGTAACACAAGTTTCACACAAAGGACTTTTGTCGTAATGTACTAAATTTATTCTTAGGAAGATTTGGATTGGGGAGAATGTAGGTGCAAGGTAGATTTGGATAAGGCAGATTTGGGGATGGAATGTTAGTTATTGAAGTTTGTAATTCTGCAAATGGTACAGAGATTTGTATGAAGTATAACTATCAGTTTTATCAGCTGGTTAGAGATGGTTATTAATTATAGTGATATAAGATACTTCATAGGAAATATTTCTTTCTTTCGTTTAACTGTAAATAAATGTAGACCAAGTTTCCTTAGTTTTGAGATTAATACGCTTTGCAAAAGTGGAGCTTAGAGTCTTTGAAATCATTTAAAGGTTTTGTAATTCTTCCTTTTAAGGAAGTAAGAGGTTCAAGTTTTTATTGGATTATTCGAGATTAATGGGCGCCCTTATGCGAGTTAAGGAAGCTGTGAATAATTGCTTGCATCATTAACGACTATATACTCGGTGATTTATCTTGTAGGACAGTAAAAACTAGCTTGGAGAAACTTTTCTTTTCCTGTACACGGTTCGCGAGCGAAGACGAAATTGTAATGATAGCGAGCAAACAGCAGTTTTGCTGCGCAAAAATGAGTGGAATAAATTGATTTTGTATGGGGTCTTGTTTTTGAGCAATATAACACCTCGTGTATTATATAAGTGGTTCGTACTATGTGTTGTATACATTTTCAATTTTTTAATGTAGAAGTATCAAATTATTGTAGTTTCAAATACTTTCAGTATTCAATTTTTCCAATTTCCAAACTTAGAAATTTTCATTTTTTCAATTTGTCAATTTCTCAATTTCTCAATTTGTCAATTTGTTAATTTCTTAATTTCTCAATTTCTCAATTTGTCAATTTCTCAATTTCTCAATTTCTCAGTTTCTCAATTTCTCTATTTCTCAATTTCTCAATTTCTCAATTTTTCAATTTTTCAAATTTCTCAATTTCTCAATTTCTCAATTTTTCAAATTTCTCAATTTCTCAATTTCTCAATTTCTCAATTTCTCAATTCCTCAATTCCTCAATTCCTCAATTCTTCCATTCTTCCATTCGTCAATTTGTCAATTCGTCAATTCTTCCACTCTTCAATTCTTCCAATCTTCAATTCTTCAATTCTTCAATTCTTCAATTTAAATACCTTTTGATCTAGTAAGTTGCTAATTCAGAAATTTGAAAATCCATCGTTGCCCTCGAATGTTATTTTTAATTACAGAAATGTCTTCACTATAATAATGGCAAAGTTATGATAATCACCCTGCCCTTCAAATTTGCTTGAAAGTATGCAAATTTGTACTCCATTCGCAATGCACTTTCGTTCAAGATACAAATGGCTACAGTGCAATCTCGTAAGTGAAAATGAAGGAAAGTAAGATACTGAAGGCCGATTTATCATTTCACCATAACTAATCCAGCACTTAGGTTATGTGCTGAGTAAGTCTCTCATTTCTCCTGTTTACGAATATAAGCACGAACAAAAATAGCAATAACTTTAGAAACGATGAATCATATTCGAGTTCAGTAATGTTGGTATATCAACCTACTACATAGTTGAACTCAATTTTCCTCCTCAAAATAGAATTCAATTTATTTCCCTCCCATCAAGGAACTCATCGTTGCTTCAGTATTTTTGAAAATTTGCAAAACGACAATAAATATAAATTTGCATTTTGAGCAAGTTATAATTAAGGACTATAATTAAGTCTCAATTAAAAGTTCAAATGCAATATTCAACTGAAATCACATTTGACTAACGATTACAATTTAATCCTCACGTAAAGAAATCTTTAATTAACCTAATAATTAATTACCTTAATCAAATAAGTTAACACGAAACTCTACCTACTCCATCTCCACAAAATGTCAAATTTCAAGCTCCAAAAATTTTCTCAAAATCATCTCCCATCGAAGAAGTAGTTTCTATGAAGAGGACAAGGCTCCTTTTTATGACAACAGGCGCAATTATCCGATTCGCTGACCACAGAGTCGCTGCTCCAGGACTCCGTCGTGCTGAACAATTGTTTCATAGTCATCGAATCTTTCTTTAATTCATCAGACTTCTCTTCCCGCCCGTTCACCTTAAACCGTCGAGCGCCATTTTCCGGGCGAATTTTCTGACGAGGTCTCGCCCTGTCGGAGATACTCTTTAATCCCCGTCCCAATTTCGCATGAAAGTTGCTGAGCCTCTCCATCGTGGCTGTTCTCTGAGCCTTTCGATCCTTCCCCGATCCACTCGTATCCACGTTTCTCTGACGTTTAACATCCTTGCTGTCCTCGTTGGTCGACCTCTTCAGGGATTTGCCGGACAGAGCAGAACCCTTCGACGAAGTCGACTTCGATTCGATCGAGTAGCTGTCGGAATCAGATACCCGATGAGATCGCGAGGCAGGTATTTTACCGTTCACTGATTGAATTTGTTTGTCGGAAAGGAGTTTCCTTTGATCACTTGGTCGTCGACCTCGACGAGTTGAAGACAAATCCCCGGGCTTGTCCGAATTTTTAGTCCCTTGCATCACGTGGCTGGGGTTACAAGTTCTCGAGTGTGGGCTCTGAGAGGTTATGGATGATCCGGAGAGTAACCGAGTTCATGTTCGATTGTGCGGAGCTTCAGGTTCGCGTGGCACCTGACATCTTGCAGCGAGGATGGAGTTGGAGTTTCTTGGGAAAATTTGAAAACTTTGACACTTGGAATTTTGGAGTGAAGATGGCTGCGGGTGAGGGAACAGCTTCGAGATATGATGAGATATTGTTTTTGGAGGTTGTGGAGGAAATAACTTGGTGGCGGTGAGGTGGACGTGATGAGCATATGTGCACGTTGAAAGACTTATAGGCAACATGCATATTGTGTGGAGTTGCGAAGAGATCTCAAGGATGAAGATTTCAAATTTTTTCATTTGGAAGTTGAGCAGTGTAGAACTATACAAATTCTGAATTTATAAATGCATCAATTTACTCATTTTCGAACTTACTTTCTTTTCGGCAGTTGCAGTGAGTTGTTGCAAACGTTGTGTCATGTTAGACAGCGACTGCTCGAAAGCCGACACCACGTGCGCCTATAACATAAAAGAGAACGAAGAAAGTTAGAAACGATGAAGATGTTTCGAATGAATTGCACGATATATTAACTTGTTAACTTGTCATACATGTGCAAGTACATTTGAAATTTAATGAACCATTAATAATAGGTTTTTCTTTTTAATTTCTCCGTAACGTTTCAATAGAGAGAAAGGTCCATTACATCGATACGTGTGTGATACATGTGACATCGATTCACATTTTTTTTTCTTCGTGAGAACGGGGCTTTTTTGCGGTTCAAAAATTAGTTGGTTAATATGGTATTGTGGTGAAAATTTTTGGTATGAATTTTGAATTTTGGAATTTTGAAAATTTGGAAATTTGGAAATTTGGAATTTTGGAGAATTTGGAATTTTGAGAATTTGGAAATTTGAGAAGTTCGAAATTTGAGAAGATGGAAATTTGAGAAGTTGGAAACTTGAGAATTTGGAAATTTGAGAAGTTGGAAACTTGAGAGTTTGGAATTTTGAGAGTTTGGAAATTTGAGAATTTGGAAAATTGGGAAGTTGGAATCTTGAGAATTTGGAAATTTGAGAAGTTGGAATTTTGAGAATTTGGAAATTTGAGAAGTTGGAATTTTGAGAATTTGGAAATTTGAGAAGGTGGAAATTTGAGAAGTTGGAAATTTGAAAAGGTGGAAATTTGAAAATTTAGAAATTTGAAAAGTTGGAAATTTAAGAAGGTGGAAATTTGAGAATTTAGAAATTTGAGAAGTTGGAAATTTGAAAAAGTGGAAATTTGAGAATTTAGAAATTTGAGAAGTTGGAAATTTGAGAATTTAGAAATTTGAGAAAGTGGAAATTGGGAAATTTGGAATTTTTGATCCAAAAAAAGAACGAAAACTTCACCTTTCAAGATTTGCGACATTTTCAACCTTGAGGTTCCCAAATATTTAAACCTTCATTATATTTCATACCACCTTCTTCATTTACCCAAGCAATAAATGATTCACTCTCGACAATCAAGTACGTAATGAATTACGTCAAAGGAATTATCGTTACCAGTTCACAGATACGCTCATAAATTCTCTCTAATTCCGTCTAATTATCAATGCCCTCTTCGGGTGGTTGATATCAAGTAGGAAACTATACCCAGAAATATTCGATGATACCACTACATCCTTTTTTTATCAAAAAGCTCTCGAGAACAGAACACGGATGGCAGATAAGGTCGAGTGGTGATGTCAGGCTGCTATCGCGCACGTATCGATCCTGGCCATCTAATTTTCGTAGCTGTGTTCTGTAGCGAAACGATAATTCAGATCTTTCCACTTCCTGTCGAGTGGTCATCAACCAGTTACAACACCAGTTACAATTTAACTAAAATAAAAATGAACGGAGATTTAACTATCACTCGTTGCATCTCGATCACAAGTACCTTAGACAGAATAAGTTGCTGGTCTTCTTAAGTGTATTCTGTTAAATTATACTAGGTGTTATGATACGTAGTTCTTCTTGACAATACAAATTTAAAATCAAAGGAAAAATTGAAGGATGAGATACTATACTTGATGAGGACATTTGTTAATTTTTTTCAAATTTCTTTTCAGTGACTTGATTTTTAAATATATCATTTTTCGTATGTTTCATGTATGCACACATACATGCATACATTTTTCATGTATGTTATTTTTAATATATATATGTCATATGTAAGCATTTCTTTCAGAGTAGAAAATACTGTATTTATTACAATATTGTAATATTTTATGTGTTAGCATGTTTTCATATGTGAATGTTCACATGTGTGTGGATGTGACACATAGCACATATCCACACTAGTGGATAAAGTTATGACTTAAACTACTTAATACTCTGCTTAATGTCATAATTTTGTTTAATAATAACATACATAATTATGCATGTACAAAATGTGACAATAACACATAACAGAGGTTAAAAATATTTAAAAAGAAAATCAGTAATCTTCCCTATAGTACCACCATAATATATGAAAATGTTGCAAGCAAACTTTATATCCTATTTCTCACAGTTGTCTATTCAGATCTATCATGTATCTGGCAAAATAACATCGTCGAATGAGAGACCAATTTCATCTGGAGGATACGTAGGCGAGTTGACCTACAATGCGACCCACACGTTCGTCGTTGAATTTTTCTTTTCACTTTTCGTAAGAACCATGAGAATAATAATAAGGGAAGGAGACCGCTCGTAGAAGGAGAAAATTCCGTGTGTCTCAGCACGTAAATATCACCGTATATTCTTCTGTCATTCGGGCTTCATGGGTTGAATTTTTAACGGAGAACTATTATCTTTCTTCACATCGTAAAACGGCACTTAGAAAGTCGAACGATGATTATCGGAAGAATTTTCGAATGAAAATGAATATTTTAGGTTGTTTGTATTGAGAGATCATAAAAGAGCAGTTAAACTGAATGGTGAAGACAATCAGAGAGGTCTTCATGTAAAAATTAATATATTAAGTTGTTTGTATTGAGAGATCATAAAAGAACACTTAAAAAAGTTGAATGATGGAGAGAGTTAGAATGATCTTCAAGTAAAAATGAATATTTTAAATTGTTTGTGTAAGAAGATTATAAAATAGCACTTACAAAGTTGAATGGTGACGATAATTAGAAAAATCTTGAAATAAAAATAAATATTTTGAATTAGAATATCAAAATACTTGCTTAAAAAATGAATGTACAGATCAAAAACTGAAGACTAGTCAGATCACGAAGCAAATATTAGCCAGACAAAAACTGAACTAGCTACACCAAAAACCAAGAACTAATCAGACCAACAATTAGTCAGATCAAAATTTAGGAACCAGCCAAACTAAAAACTATGAACAAGTCAGATTAAACATAAGAATCTAGGCAAGTCAAAAACCAAATACTAGCCAGACCAAGAACCAAATCGTAGCCAAACCAAAACCTTAACACTAGGTAGGGTTATCAAGGTTAGTCAAGAATTAGTTAGACTAAAAATCAAATATTAGCTAGACTAGAATCCAAAACCCGAGACCTAGCTGACCAAAAATCAAATGGTAGCCAAACCAAAATATAGAATCTAGGTAGCCAAAAACCGAATGCTAGCCAAACCAAAACCTCAAAACCTAACTGACCAAGCACGAAATGCTAGCCAAACTAAAGTCCCAAAATTAGGTAGGGCCATAGTCAAGAACCAGTTAGAAAACCAAAAACTAGCTAGACTAGAATCCAAAATCCAAAACCTAACTGATCAAAAATCAAATCGTTACCAAACCAAAACACAGAACCTAGCTGACCAATAACCAAATGCTAGCCAAACCAAAAGCCCAAAACCTAATCGACCAACCACCAAATACTACCCAAACCAAAACCCTAAAACCTAGCTGACCAACTACCAAATATTACCCAACCAAAGCCCCAAAACTAGGTAGGTCAAGAACCAGCTACATAAAAAGACCAAAAACTAAGTTGACCGAACCCCAAAATCTAACCTAATCACAACAAATACTATTCAAGCCAAAACCCAGAATCTAGCTAGAACAAAAGTCAGAAACTAGCCAAACTAGAACCCAAAATGTATCCAAACCAAAACCCAAAACCTATCTTAGCCAAAACCCAAAACTTAGCCAGTCTAAATACCCCAAGTTAGCCAAAGCTTCAAAAGCTACTCAGACGAAAGACTCAAGTCTACTCAGACCAACTAAAATTCAACCCGTAAAAGAATAACGAAACAAAGAAAATGACTTCATCAAAATAATTGAGATTCAGGTGGAGCGATTATACTGAATAGAAGTTTGCCGACGAACGAATAGGGAAGAAAGGTTAAAGGATACGTGGGTGAGCAACGTTTCCACGCGTAATACCAGAGAAATTATTCCGCTTGTAAAGCGGCAAACGATAATTTTCTTCAGTACTATCTCAGGACTTCGTCATTGTCGTAGCTTTTCTCTTCGCATCCATAAGGACGTGGAATGAACCTTGGCGCTTGTAACGATGATTGCAGGTTGTGGAACATGCTAGCTTCCCCCCTTTTGTCGGAATGTCAACCTGAAATCGCATTGTTCGAGTCGGTGCTCTCGAGGTTCACTGACTTTCAATGCAACGCTAAAACACTTCTTCAAACATCCTCTTCAACTGAGCTATCAAGGTTCGTGGTTTATTTCGATTCGGGACATATTTTCTGGGGCTTAATAACTCTTGGGGCAAACTTTGTGGAGAAACGATTTATAGATCATTTTTGTGTAGTTTGGTTTTTATATATTTGTGTAGTCATTGGTTTCATTGAGATCATAGATGATTTTACGATTACTGAACAATTTTTAAGAAATATAACTATTGTTGCAAATATGATTTATAAGTGAAGTATGCGAAATTTAGGGTTGGTGTAGTTCAAGCTAGGGCCATCCGGCTTCATGTGGAAGATATGTACTTTCAATTAGGTTCAATATTTAGTTTTTTTATTTTAGCATGATGTGGAAGGTTCAGTATCTTATTTTTGTATTTTATCATGATATGGAAGAATCAATGATTAATTTTTCTATTTTATCATCATGTGCAAGGTTCAATGTTTAGTTTTTCTATTCTAGCATGATGTGGAAGACTCAATGTTCAATTTTTCTATTTTATCATGATGAGGAAGAATCAATGTTCAATTTTTGTATTTTAGCATGAAGTGCAAGGTTCAATGTTTAGTTTTTCTATTTTAGCATGATGTGAAAGACTCAATGTTCAATTTTTCTATTTTATCATGATGAGGAAGAATCAATGTTCAATTTTTGTATTTTAGCATGAAGTGCAAGGTTCAATGTTTAGTTTTTCTATTTTAGCATGATGTGAAAGACTCAATGTTCAATTTTTCTATTTTATCATGATGAGGAAGAATCAATGTTCAATTTTTGTATTTTAGCATGAAGTGCAAGGTTCAATGTTTAGTTTTTCTATTTTATCATGATGTGGAAGACTCAATGTTCAATTTTTCTATTTTATCATGATGTGGAAGAATCAATGTTTAATTTTTCTATTTTA